AAGCAGTTGAACCAGCAGCCAGAAAACAAGTCATACAAGTTGGCACTGATCTGGCAGACACTTGATAACTAAATATTTAGCTAGAAACAGTGTACCTCTTTGGTGTCTCTTTATAAGCACTGAAGTGATGTGGCAACCATCTGTTATCTCACTGACAGCACCTTTAACATGAACGCCATGGTCTGTTTTGTGTGAGATGGCATGTGTGTTAAATTGGCTCCTGTTCTCCTCAGTCTGTAATCCATCATGAGTGTTATGTAAGAGTAATGGAAGGATGGGAGGCTGTTAAGACGCCCTTTGACCTGGGGAGTTCATTTCACTCCAGTGTAGCCAAGAGGTCAGCTATGAGCCTGCTAAGCGCCTGCTAAGCGCACATGGGACAGAGAAAAAGGACCAGGGGCTCACTGAAGACAGACCTGCGTTTCTTTAAGAGAACAAAATAAATAAATAAATAAATTAAATAAAATTGGGATAATGATGTTCACTGGAAGAAAGAACAGTTGGCTGTAGCTCTGCTGACCTCTGAACATGCCTCAAGAAGGAGTCATGAGAACAAGGTCCTATTTTTAAATAAACATTTCTGCCCATCTGATAAAGTGCCTCAAGGTAATGTTTGAGCCGTTGCTACGTACATGTTTACAGTGTCTTTCTTGCACAGATGTAAGTTATAGCCGAGGGTCTATCTCCTTCTCTGACAAACAATGGGTAGAAATCTTTACCATCTTCTTATGGATCTTGTTAGCAGCATTCTTATGGTAACAAGTAACCTAAGCTTTCATTAAAAGTGAGCTTAAGGCTACCTTTAAATGGCCACACATGCTCAGTTGGCATCCAACCTCACGTATTAACTTTTACAAATTCTTGTGCATCGACTGGCTGTTGCCTTGAGGCTGTCATACTGACAGTCTGCAACCAGAGATAGGAATAATGTGAGGACAAAGAGTGACGAGTGGGAGAGGAGGCGGGGTAAGATCTAGTTTAATGTCTGTGTGCAAACCATCTGCAGCCTTGGAAGTAAGAAGAGATGAAGAAGGGAAAGCATTAGGAATGGATAAGGAGAGGATGAACAGTTTGTTGGCATGCTGGGCTAGGAGATGCATCTAATGACCTGCTACAAGATTATAAGACTGCATCAAGCAAGAGCTGCCAATGTGTATGATAACGATACTTTACGGATCATATTTTCACTTGTTGTCTGTCTCCACAGAGGAAAGATTAAAGTGCAGCTCCAGGTCCAGAAAATTCCAACAATTCCAAACTAATGAGTGGACAGCCTATTTAATACCTCACATCCAGTAGTTGACCATGTGGTTCCTAAACTTTTTTTTGTTAGACAACCTTATCAGATGAGCTCAAGCTCTCCTTCATCACACCATCGGTCTTGTTCCAGATGTGTTTGTTTGAACTAATATTAAATTTAAGTTTAAGTTATTTAACACAATTAATTATACAAAATGGGCCATAGTCATATTAACTTACAATACAGTAATCCTGAAATTGTCAATGTTTATCTGGCATATTTGGTGAAGTCTGCACTATTACTACCACCTGGAGTGGCTGAAGGATGAAGGGTTCAACCTTTTATCTAGTGATGTATCGATCAGGGTTTTTTGTCCCAATCCGAGTCCAATCAGATAGATATATTATATATTTATGTAAATGTTCACTAAATATGCAGAACTGACAACTGACCCAGGTTGGTGGGAGGTGTGTCGTGTGAATTGTTATGAATTGGCGCTATACAAATAAAATTGAATTGAATGACTCATTTCTACTGATACAGTAGTTTACTGTGACAATTAATCTGTGTTTATTATACTCCTAATCTATTAAAGTCTGGAAAATCAATCAGAATCAAACATAAAATCAACAAGAACGTGTGACTTCTTAGACAAGAAAGTCTGTTGTTTCTCCCAGTCCTCGTGTATTTGAAGGAAAAGAAAGAACCATGAACATCTTGCAGTTTAGTCGGCTGTTTGTGTGCAACATGATGTGTCGCTGGCTAACCCAGTGACTGTAGAAGTCTTCGTTGTGGATAAACTAAACTCTTATTGAGCCCTTTGGATAGGCCCTGCAACGCCAGGCCAAACCGCAAACCACCAGTTAAATGGAAGTAGTCATACCACATGTGTGCTGATATTCAGTGTTGCAGGTGTGGTGAGGACTCTGAGACAAAGTTACTGCTCTCACAGCGTGCAGAAAAAGAAAGCATCTTCTTTGCTCCAGTGGTCTCCTCCTACAGCTAGGCCAAACCACAAGCTGAAAACAATCCAATTCACTTAGAGCAAAGTGATAAACAATAGGATATGCACTTCTGTGGCTGCACCTGCCTGGGCCTTTATTCACAACAACAGGAGAAACAAGCCAAAGAACTCCCTCATGTTGACTGAAATACTTAGGATAAAGGAAATGGAAACGCAAGATTGGCATAGAAGACAATTTTCTCCCCTGAGCTGGATCCCAGGGTGGTACTGTGCTAAGAAATTGAGTAAAATAAGTTCTGTTTGTTTTGCCAACATCCTGCCTAATCCTTTATTCATTTATCTTTATCTAGTCCGTGTGTTTAGATCTCACACAGGGGAGAGCTGTGGTCAGGTCTGCTGAGTAAGATAAAGTTTAATTCCATGGATACTCTTGTTTACACAATGTTGATTAAGATTCCACAGTGGTGAGACTAGAGGATCATTTCTCATTCAGTGACCCTTCCTGCTTCAACAGCAGAATGGATCTGATTCCCTAAAACAAGAAACAAGTGTTTGCTTACAGTACACCCAGTGAACTGGAAATGTGTGAACTGCAAACTTCAGTAAATATAAATTGGTTAAAAAGGATACTATATATTCTTCATCCCATCTGTTATCCTCCTCAATTTGTTCCTTTAATTAAAATTATTTGCTTTCATTTTTCTGGTTTCTGTTTTCTTCCACTCCATTACACTAATCTAATAGCTGAAATTGATACTACGCGTGATCCAATGAGAAATAAAAAGAAGATAAGAAGAATTTAACAGCCAGGGCTCACAATTGACTTTTTTGGTCAATGTCCTGCAACTGTCCTGATTCGCGCTTTCAGACGGTTCTTCTCTCTCCATTCTATATAATGAATATAGTTTATTAACGTTGTAAATAATGTTTCAGTAACTCACATCACTTCATTGCCACACTCTGGTCCACCATGGAAGTGTTTTCAGTTGTTCCGTGCACTAGGTGTTTGTGGCCACAATAGGTTTTCATCATTCTTTTAGTCATTGGATGAGTTACTGTTTCTTGTTTATTTTTAACTGGTTGATAAATAAATGCATCACTGCAGACTGCAACAACCCTGTTTCTGGTATACGGGGATGTAACTTTACGTTCACACACTTTATTATTAGTTAGCCAAGTGAACACAAACTTGCTTTAGGGACTCTGTATGTATTAAGTATTAAAAAAGGGAAGAGGGAGAAGGTTAAACAAACTATTTAAATATTTACAAGCTCAAATTAGCTATTTGACTATTTACATAAAAGCTATGGGAACACCGGAGAAGGAGTAAGAAAAAACGTCAAACAAACTATTTACATATTTACAAAATACAGGAACACCCTTATCCAGAGATCCGGGGAGAAAGAGTGAGAGAAAGACAAAAGTCAAGTCAATTTGCCCCATCTGCCACACCTACTGACTGACAGCACAAGAGGAGAGGCAGAAGACCCATTGACTGTGATTACGAAGAGCAGAATGCATAAGAATGAATTACAATATAATATATTTAAAAATATTTCTCACCTTTTCTGTGATGGTCGGATAAAGTCATGAAAAATGTGTTGCTAGTCGCTTTTTTTTTAGAAATAATTTTGCTAAGACAGTCTGAAATTTTGTCAACACTGGTTCCAGTGCCGCCTCACATTTTTAGAATGTGAACACGTGACAATTACACCAATTTATTTTCCATAACGCTGTCCCTATCCCAGGACTGTCCCAGACACTGCATCTTTGTGTCCCAGGTGCTATTTATATTGTCCCTGGGACAACGGGACATCCTTCATTTTGGATGCTCACTAACACAGCACGGCTCACTAAACAATGGTAGTACAGTATTATTATTGCACACTTATATCCTTGTCTATCATACATATATTACAATTTTATTGTTTTCAGAGTGGACACAGTCAAGCGTGCTGTGAAATTACATCTCACATACAGTAGGTCTACACTGACTGTGGCACTGAATGCACGTGTTCTTGGAGTAAATCCTTTAGTCACAGTTGTGTGTGTGTATGTGTATGGACTGCATGTGTATGACCACGAGACCATGAGACTGAACTCATACATATAACACAATAAAAATAATAAAAACCGCAGTTTAAAGTGTTTATGATTTAGGTTTTATACACTCTAATTTGTTTTTATGGTTTTTACTGCAGGGCTGTCTCCGTATGTCGACTAACGGGTAAGTTTTAGGTAAAAGGGGGAGCAGCTGGTAGCTTTTTTGATATTGTTTCTTCTAAAGATTGCTTCTGTGCATGTGTTTTATTCCATACAAATCTTCACCTTAAAAACATTACGACTGACTTATGAATTATGGCAAAACTTTGAGAGGGCAGTAACATATCTGTCTGGGTGGTAGACTGTTACATCTATTGCAAGAACCAATACTACAAATGCAGAATGTTTTACTACCTGCCCTGTAAATCAAGTCATACCAGACAGAACTGCTCTTTGGAAAACAAACGAGCTAGCTTGGTGCTGTAGTTTAGGGCAACACATTCAAACTGGCTCAACAGGGGGTGACATTTTTATGAGGCTATGTTGGTGGTAATGTTGGAAAAATGTCACACATCACAGGACCACTGTAAAAGAAAGTGTAATGCTTCACCGACCATGCTGCAGGGTCTCCAACTCCCTGTGGTCATGAGGACATTACCCCATTATGCATTAATTTAAACACAGACACATACCTGCCTCAGAATATGTGTGTTCTCACCAATTATTCTGTATTAAATATTGCATGTGTCTCACCATCCATGCCAGCTGGGGGGCCCTGCTGTACTCCAGGATAGGGAGCCTGTGGTTGGGGGGGCACTCCTGGCTGAGGGGCTGCAGATGAGGAGGAGGCAATGCTGTCAGGGGTTCCTGAGCGCTCCTCTGGTGCAACCGCTGGGGGAGCTACTCAGATTGAGACAGAGATATGAAGTCATTACATGGCTATACATTGAAAACATAAATAGTGTCTTGTATTTTTTGCAGTTGGATAGCGTGCAATACCTGGAGCCTGGTCCTCGCTCAAACCAAAAGCAGAGATGACATTCTTGCTGACCTCGTCCTGATTTTTTAATGGGTCGAAGGCGGACATGCTGGCTGCGCTGACTGGGGTGGCATGTTTCATTGTGTGGTCTGCTGCCACCATTTTGCCTTCACGTCCATCCACTGATTCTAGAAACACAGCCAGAGAAACGTTTAAGAACGAGCAGAGACCAAAGACGAAATGTGGCAATAATGAAATCGAGTATTGAACATTTTGCACTAGTTTGTATTGATTACAGACAAAGATTTGTTATTACACCATTAGTACAAACATGTAATCCAAGGGGGATGGGGGTTTGAGTGTAGTTCTCAAACACTCCTTAAGCCCCATAAAAGACCTTGATTGTACTCCTGCATTTGACTCAAAAAAGATCTAACTATTTGTCTCAGCATGGTGCCAGATTGCAAAATACAGATTACCCCTGTTAATTTCACTCCTTAACTCCAGCCAAATCACATGTGAATATGTACTTGTTCAGAAGAGGGCAGAATAAAAAAAAAAAAAATGCATAAAATTACAGCTTCCAGTGAATTACAAACAGCAGCACAAAGTCAGTATGGCAGCCTACAACCGTACAGCAAAATGATTGCACATGTTCTTCATGTAAATGCTTCACAGTTTTGATGACATGGGCGTCTTTAAGCTTGGGATGTGCGTCTGTGTGTGGGTATGAGTGACCACAATCAAACTGGACAGAACCAGTATGTATCTGGTATATAATTAAAGCTACAAATTCCAGACAAATCTTCATAGGAAAAAAAAGTTTAATTATTCCAACAATGACTGACCCATATACACTGTCTCAGTCCAGTGCCAGTATCCCTGTGGGATACAGATCTTATGATTCTGGCAGTGAGCATGCGGTATACGAACAACTGTTATTTGTTTAGCGGGCCGCACGATTCCCATCGGCAGGATTTAGAGACAAAAACTGTGGTTTAAAAAAAAGACTTGAAAAGAAATCAAACCACCTGGACTGTGTGTGAAAAGGTTTATAACGTCTATAATATACACACTAGTTAAAATCTAAGTAAGTGCAGGTGTTTTTCATCAATAAGCACAAGTTATGCGCTCTCATGTTACAACAATTTAAAGAGAAGCTTTTTTACAGCCCAAAAATCCACTTGTTGTTCTCTGGTGGAAAAACTATGAAATGATGACACTGTTTTGAAATTATCCCAAACTGGTATGTAGGTCAACATATACACTGATACTGCAATAGGCCAATATCACCTGATTTGTTGGTCTTGCTTTAACACACATGTGCGTGTGTGTGCATAGAGAGGTCCTTACCACTGTCCGGTGCTGTAGCAGCCAGGCCGGGCTCTGTGGGGGGCTCCAGGCTGTCCAGGAGGTTGTTCACTTTATTCCTGAGCTCAATGAGCTCCCTGCGCAGGTACTTGACCTGACTAGACTCCAAAGGCCGCGGCTGACCATTCACTGCAGATAGTGAGAGAGGAAGAAAGGAGGACACAAATGAGAAAAACAAGACAGATCCTCATTATTCTGGCGAGTACGGTAAAGTAATAGTAAGAGTAAAGCCAAACATTTCTCCATCTATGCACAGCCGACTTCATTTGTGCGTTAGACCTCAAGCAGAGCGTTGGATAGAACTTGACTCCTGATCACTTTTACAGAAGACAACAATCCCCTAGTCCACAACTTTATTAACAGAGCCTTTTCATACATTACTGAATCTGAATCCCATCAATTACAATCATTTCCCACTTGGGGGAATGTTGTCTTGAACTTGAGCTGCTCGTTGACATAGATCATGGTCTCGATTGGTGTTAAAGTTATAGCCCAGGAATATCTGGGTCACTGTACAGAAATGTTTCAACAACCCAGCAGAGAATAAACCAAAGAAAAGTGAGCGGGAGCAAATCAAATAAGTGTTTAAGCTGACAATACACTGCAACCAGAGGGGCATGTGAACTTTACACTGAGGCAAAACGTTGTTATATACACCCATGAAGCCAAGGACACACACTGTGTTCACTCTATTAGACTGAATGTTTTTTAATTCGTTAATTATGTTATGTGGAAAGTTGGTCATCAGAACAGGACAGCACTGTATTATACAGTAACATCTGCTAACGTTAAATAAACATGGTGGATACATGAATTCTGCACGTTATTCGTCTGTAAAAGCTGTTCTTCACTAAGTATGTGGCCATTATGAATGATGATCTGTTCCAATTCTCTTGGCTCCGCACAACGAATACTTGGGATTATATCTATCACATGGTTAATTCCACTAAGACATTAACAATAGCAGCCAGGCTGACAGAGGGAGCTTCATCATCACAATTTGCCAGCTAAGCATTTAACTAACAATGGAGCTGGGAAATTCCTGGCAAAAGGGAACTGGTTTGTCATGCTTACTATGAAATAAAATCATCAATCAAACCAACTGGTCCATTACTACGCTGCCAATCTGCAGGAAACACAGAACAAAATTATCCACAAAGTTAAACACTATGTGACCTGCACCACATGGGTCACCCTACCCTTCCTCCAAAACGTACTAACCTTCTACAAATTTGCGTTGAGAAGTGAAATTTCCATCGTAAAAGAACGACTGTGAGAATGGAGATTGGAGCCAGACATTCCTTTCTCTCACCAGTTTCTCTGTTTGAGTGGATAATGCTGAACAGAGATGAATGGGGTCATAAGGCTCTTCGCTGCCACAAGCCTTCAGCTACTCTCGCTTGCTTTGAATCTCCACACATGTCTAAGAATATCAGTTCCACGTGAGGTCATGACACTCAGTGAAGAGCCAGGACTCAGATTTGATTGGGAGAAAGCAACATTTTTGATTATGCCTATATTACCATACTGGTAAATCTTTACTTCATCTTAATTTCTTGGCAGGAAGGAGAAAGCTCTGCGGCACAATTTAGACTATAGTATAGTATTTTTCATCCTGGACCTAATTTTCCCATGTCTTTGTTTTGAATTTGATCCAGTATTGAGGCAGAGTGCTGCTGCCCTGAAACAGGCTGCAACAAAATTCTTGCAGGCAACTGCAAACCGTCATAATATGTCCATTAAAAGTGCTTGTTTTTGCCACTGACGGGTTCAGTTTGTTATTATAAGTGTCTGATGACATAAAGGAAAAGACCCTACAGAAAAGCTAAAGGTAAATTTCACTTGATCCGGTCTGTGAAATCCAGCCTTGCAGCAGCTGGCTCACCCTCTCTTCAAGGTGTAGTTTTAGAGAGTTTGTTAACATGATGTTACTACAGAAAAAAAACAAGCTTCAACCTGACATATTAGGGTGAGGCTAACTGATTGTTTGTGACATAAAATTAATTCTTCAATAGCCTACGCCTAAAGTCACATAGCTACATGGCTACATAATTATTCAAATTAAATAATGTGGATTTAGTTGAGCTGGCACATATTTAAGATTACGATTGGGAACTGGTATAACTGGCACAAAAGGGCTTTTGTAAATACATCCATCTACCGCCTGTCACTTGTCTGCTGAACCCGCGCTAAGAAACACATAAGACATTCCAACCCAAATTAGTCAGCAGTGAAAACAACTTTCATTTGGATAGAGAAGAGCTGAGGTTTTTGTTGTGTGAAACATAAGCTGGACTGCCCTCCAGTGACGGGTTGCTGTAAGAGCCGTGAGACATCTTGGTCTACAGTTTATCACATGATTTAAAAGGTTTGGGTTCCTTTAAGACACAATTCACTGTGGCTGTGTGTATAAGAGAGCAACAGTCATGAAATGCTTTAATATCTTACCAAACAAAGTCAGTTTGAGTATTCTACTGCACTGGATGGCGAAGGAGAGGTCGGAGCTGTCAAAGATGGTGATGAGATCATCATCTAGAAAAAGGGAAAAGACAATATTTTAATAATAATACAACAACTGTATTCCCTTATAGAAATTACACTGTCAAGTGAAAAGTGTCCTGGTCAAGTAATTAGTGTCAGTATTGTGTATTAAACACTACTGTATAACAAATAATCTGGTGTAAGGAAAACTCGTCAATGTCAACATTCACCCTTTTACCCCTAAGACCAATGAGGACCGAGGACTCACCTTCATCCTTGTATTTGATGGTAACCTCGTCATTACTCTGCAGCTTTCCCCTGAAGACACGCTGCATCATCAGCACTAGCTCATCATAAGTAATGTCTTCGTTATGGATAGGGATGCGTCTGATGTCATCGCCCAACTGGGCTTTGATGATCAGTTTCCCGCTCAGGTCCAGCTGGCCGTTCATGGTGCCGTCCGACCTCTTCTGCTCCCACCACTTAACAGTATCAGAGGAAAGATAGGTTCTTTGAGAAAGACAGATTTTCAAAACAACCAACAAATAGAGCCGTGTCACACCGCACTAGGACTGCGAGATTATGGTTAAAACGATCACGACAATCAGTCTGCTCACAATAAAAGATTTCAATTAATAATGTTAATTAATGTTTTCAAACATTAAATAAAATAATGACATCCAATTGTATTTATCATAATAGTCAAATTGAGGAGTCACGTAAGACCGGGTCTGGGGAGGTGGTTGTTATAAGATTGTTATTTATGATTAAAATGTTGTTATGACTCTGATAACGGCCCGGGAAGAAACTGTGATAAAGCTGTTGCTGGAGTTTTGACCTCTTGAATGAAGAATGTGGTTATTATATTAACAATGACAATGGGATTACATTTAAATAAGCTGCTCCTCTTTGTTGTCTTCTTTAAAAGCACCGTGATGATTGCAAAGAGAGAGCTTCTCTTCTGAGGATTTGATCTCTCCCTCAAACCTTTAACAATGAAGCTATCTCCGTGAATGCTCTCTACTGATCCTATCAACACTATACCTATGTAGTAACATTATCACACAGTTTCACTCGAACTAAGAGTCTAAGGGTCAAATATCACCCAGTGATGTGGCACCAACCTTTTCTATTATCTGCTCTTATAGAAAATCATCGCAGACTTTGACCCAAAACTCACACTTTGATAAGAGAATTAAAGCTTTCGAATATCTTTAGCGGATCTTACACACCAACCTTTGGATTATTTCTATGTTAGAGAGGTGAAACTCACAGATCTGGTTTCGTATGCAATCCCAGGTGTAACTGAACATCTCACATTCACTCAGATAAGTCTGTCAGTCTGTGATAGAGTGACGTCTCCCACTGATGCTGGATTAACTATGACGTGAGCTGCTGATGTTCTGGGATGGACAGCAAACAAACAGTGAATTTAATTCCCGAAGTGCTACGGCTGACCTAGCCAGATGAATAATTGCCTGGATGCTAGGGATTGTGTGGTAGCTAACGCTTAGCATAACGTTACAGTTACGTTGAATGAGTACAACAACAACAGCAGCAACCAGCTGATTTCTATCCGGGCTGGCTCTAACAAATTAACGTTTGGTGCATCGGGATTAAAAAGTGTTTAAAAGTGAATTGCCACATGACAAGTGTATCTAACGCCGACGGGTAAACACGCTCAATCGCAGAGTCATCAGTCAGTGGCCCGTCAACGTTACTGACTGCTAACGTGAGGGCCGAGTCAATGACGACAATATCATCCCAGCATGTCGAGTAAACAGCGATATTAGTGTTAATTCCGCGTTGTACAGTGTCCATAAGTGGCAGTGTAATAGTCTTAATTTCACTTTGTAGCGTTCAGTCGGCAGAAGAGGTTTCCTGTGTAACTTTTAATAGCTAACGTCACTTTAACAGGCATTCAGAGCTGCGTTAGCATGCTGCTAACCTGTAGCGTTATCAACTTTACCCTCCGTGAATCAGAACCGATCAGGAGATTGTGTTTTTGTAGGTAACTTCCTAAGAATCAGCCCCGACACCTGTTTGTAGGAGCTAGCCTAGCGAACGTAATATTAGCTGCTAGCTAGAAAGCTAACCGCCTAGCTTGCTAGCTAGCAGCACAGCACTCAAACAGGGAGTGTGTGGAAACTACTGCGTGATGAAAGACTCATCATACTATAGCTGGACCCCAAACACAGGAGAGTCTTTTACCTGAACGACGTGACCACGCTGTATTTCACAGGTTTCCCCAAACCGTGAAAATCCAATCTGTTAGCTAGCCTAGCTAGACCCGGGCGGCAGCATCAGGAAGTGTCCGAACTGGAAACGTCAACCAGTACGTGGCATTCACTGCGCGCAGCCGCAGACCGTCCGGGACAAAGTGCGTTGTGATTATGGTTGTGATTGACTCACCAAGCTGAAAATATATTCTCAGACTTGTAGCAAGTTCAACAGCATTTCTTTTATTTTTATTTAGTTGACAATGCATCATTTCTTCATGGAACACAGGCTTAATAAACTGGCTTTATGATGCTGAATGAGATTGCCTCAAAACATAACAGTGCAGGCAGTTACTGAGATAACCACCTTTCTTTCTTTCTTTTGTAATGTCTTGGAAGGAAAAATATATATATATTGTGAGAGGTAGACCTAATGAAGCAGACAACATCAGCACATCAGCAGGAAAGGCAAACCTACTTCTTTTAACACATACAATCGCAATTTCTAAGCAAAATGTATATGTTGGAAGATTCATACCTTCACTGGTGTACTTCTAAAGGTATACACACCTCTACATCTATTCTGTTCAAATCATGGCAACAATTCTAGAGACATGACAACAATGTCCTGGTCCTAAATGACCTCCTTGTCTGTTTGGAGAAAAACTGCAGTCTAGTATAGTCAGTGATGAAGAGGGTGTAAAGTGATTGAATGCCATGTTTACAGATGTTGCTTTGATGCCACTCCTGACTGTGTGTGCTAGACACCTTTCATCTGCTTTAAATAAATAACGGTGATGAAAAATCCAGGTTCCTGCACAAATTGTACATCTTACTCCAATTTACATTTATGTCAGAAAACACTGGCGTTAAACATATGATGTTACATGATAATGATGACCGTATAAGTAGACATGAATAAAACTCAGAACTTGAGTATAAATTAAGATGAAAACACAGTTTTGCCCAGTCACAGCTCCCTTCACGCCATTATTTCTTCTTCTTCTCCTGAGTGGTGTTGAACCATGAGTCTAACAGCTTTTTCATGTAATACAACTGCCAGGCATGTACTTGAACAGCAACCACCATGATGAGGTACATAACAGTCACTGCAGAGAAGCCAAAAATAAAGCGGTAGGCCTTCCCATGGCGGTAGAGCTGCTGCGCTACGGGAAACATCTCCATTCCACCGTAAATGAGAGGTGCCACAGAGAACAGCCCTCCGCTGATCATGGATATGACCAGGTAACTGATATTGTTCTTTGGAAGTGACAGGCTGCTGCAGAGCAGGGGGAGGAGGCTGAGCAGGTAGGGGTACTCCCACTGGTACGGCATGGACACAGTGTCATGGGACACAAGCTGGAGGTGGCTGACAGTCACCTGTGCCGCCACCAGCAGCCATATGAGAAGGTGGACCAGGTTTAACTTCCGCACCTCTGATTTCAGGGAAGCACTGTAAAATGGATAACAGGAGAGGTGTATTAGCAATCCTTGTTGCTATTGTTGCTGTTCAGAGAAAACATTCATATTTAATGGCCGACATCAGGAACAGGTAACGGCTACTTACCTCATCTGGTAATGTGGAGTCACTCTCTCTCTGTGTTTAAACTCACTTCCATTGGTACCAGCAGCTCTGGGGCCAACACGGGATGTCATGTTGAGAGAAACCTGACACACAAAACACAAAACAGAACAAGGACTGCAACTGACTATTATTTTAATTACCTATTTGTGTGGTCTATAATATGTCCGGAAACAGTGCAAACATGCCCCAACACAATCCCCCCTTTACTTCCAGGTGATGTCTTTAAATGACTTTATTGTGGCAGCAGTCCAAAGCCAAAATATATTACAGACATTCAAAGATGTTTCATTTACAACACATAAAGGATGCTATCAGAGGGGAGAGAAAATAAACAACAACATGAAATCAACCAGAATAAACCAGACCGTAGTCTAATTCTGATTCTATGGTGATAATAAGCATTTAAACAGAATATAACTAATTTAAGGCAGATTAGTTGGGCTGTTGTAGCAGCCTAGTTAGCGCGTTAGCTGCTGTTGCTAGCTGACCTTATTTGGCTCTACCTCTAAACAGATACTCACTGTGTGTTAAATGTAGCCTCGTTTTATTGTCAGCAATTACAATAACGACGACAACCACGTAAAAATATGATAACTAACAATGCTTACCGTGGCGTATGTCCTAAACGTTTGGCTCAGCTCCTCGTTTGAATTTGTACTGACAAAAGATGTGACAGATGGATGGAAATATGTCTGCGCATGCGCATAGTCTCTTCAACCCAGGGACCTCCTACCTCAGCATCAGCATCTCTTCCTCCCTTAATACGCCCGTGGGTTTGAAGCTGGGCAGTGTGGATGCGGTGGCTCTCGAACTACAGCAAAAACTACTGAGCATCTATGTCATCCATGTCACACTGACTTACCTTATACATTTTTATAGTATCCAGCTCTCAGATTAATCATCAACCAGGTTATTTTACCATTAGGAACTCACACTTGAAGTGTCAACCAGTATGGGTGTGACCCGACAATCCTGCCGACATTTTTCAGTAATTGACCTTTCGTACAGTCTCTCATGGAAAACCCCCCACAGTTAACGTAATAAGGCAGTTATGATATGATTTGATTTACCAGCCTTAGTCAAATGGGTATGATATGCTTTCTGCCAGCTCAGAAATAGAAACAACAACATTTTTTTTTAATTAAACATTTTTATTTAGAAAAAAACAACATGGACGATAACAAACATTAAGACATCAAATCTTTGGTTACAACGACAATATTAGCACCATGGTTAAAAGGAGAAATATACATTTATTTTCCTTTAAAAGGTTGTCATGCTGTATGTCCTTGTCACTGCATGTATTGGACCAGCAGATAAAATAATAAATTACTGACAGAACTGTCTAAAATTGCTACTTCCAATACAATACAAATGTATTTTGTACTCCCCATAAATGTGACAGCAGGACACACTAAATGTATAACACCAAGGATGCTGTGGAACTTAATTTGGTGTTCTCATTTAAACTAATAAACACAACAGTGGGACTTCATGACAAGTCCACTGTAAGTGTTTCAAAACAGCAATCCATAATCGTGTTTTCCAAATATGACACCTTTTTATGTATAATTATACTGCCATTCCAACTAAAAATGGATTAGGCTTACAAAACAGTTACACAATATAATTGGTTGAATTTTAAATTAAAAACATTAAGTAGGGATATATTTTATTTTAACTTATTACTAAAATGATTTTGATTTGCTTTTAAATTAAAGTAATCAAATGCAGAGTCTTGAGATCAACACTGCTTACTCTCTGTTGAGTATTATATTGTAGTTACATCTGTTTGCTTTCTGATATTTACCATCACATATACCTGTGTAATGCTGTATAGTGTGGACTTTGCTGTATATTGTGCTGTAATGTTTAACATAGTTTATGGAGTGGTTTTCATAGTTCAGGGTAATATGGCATGTTTGTTTGACCTTTGCATTTTTGCACAAATTTTTTTTTTCTGTACAGCACTACACCCATAGACCTATATGCAAACATTAAAACATTAAATTCATATTACATTCTTACTCTTCAAATCTCACTCACGGGAGCAATTGTCAGTCATCAACATATATCATGCATGAGATTATTTGATTTTGACCATCTAACCTTTCTTGTGCTATGCTATAAGTGAGCACATTGCCATTAAAAGTTTTCCCTAGAATATATACTTCAGACACCTGAAGTGAAAGTAATTTAGGTTAATCCCACACGGTATTTAGAATTTTCTTCTACAGTAGGGGTGATTGAGAGATTAATCCATTGAAAATCTGAATTAGATTGTATACAATTAACCTTTTCCCAAAACTCAAAGTCGTCTGCAGGTTACACGACCAGAACTGCGTTTACTTCTAAAACATGTACTGCTGTAATGCGTTTAATTCTCAAGAAGTCATTTTACATCCTTGCTATCATCAACAGAGAGACAAAAACTGTATTTATATAAAGGTATGCATGCAAAAATATAAATTTCCTCCCAAAATGAACATTCTACTGTATTTCACATTCTTCACCCTACATGGGGTAGCTGCCAGTTTTGAAGAGGTGAAGGGACAAAGTTTGACACTCTTGCAACACTGTAACCAAAATTGTTTGTTTTCTTTTACATACACTTCACTTGTTCCTTTAACATGTTTTCGCACTCTTACGTTTCTTTTTGCACTCTTCTGTATGAAAATACATCTACAGCCATCTTTGGTCGTTCTTGAATGCCTTTCTTGAATTCCTTTTTATACATTCTTTTATACCTTCAAAGCTGTAAAAGAAAACATCTTTGCTCTCCCAATTACATGGCTATAAGGCTATACACTATAAAAGCTGCCGTATATACATACCGTCATATACTTCAGATTTTCCTCGAGATATTTTATCTTGTTCTCTCATCTCTGCTGACAAGATCAATAGTCTGTTGACTTTACATTAACAAGACTGCTCAGTCTAAATTGGTTTATGATCATGTTTTATATTGTACAGAAATATGCTCCCATTTTGTTCCCACTGAAGCCTCTCTCTCCCTGGAGTTTGTGGTTTTACATCGGATATAACAAATACCCGGAAAAGGAGGAGTGCACATACTGCCCAGCATAAAGTCCTGATGCCTGATCTGAGGGCAGCTGAATATATACAGTGTCCCCAGGTTGTAGAGGTAATACTGCACTTCCTGATGCTTGATCTAGGAAACCCTTTTTGTATTCGTCATATGTATACATCACTGGCTCATTGTTCCTCATCAAAGCCACCCACACATTAGCTCCTTTGCAATGAATGTGGTAGGCAAAGTAATAAATTCCAGGCATGTCACAGGTGAAAATTCCTGTATCAGGGTTGTAGTTTTGGCGACCATTGTACAACAGCTTGTCAAAGATGACTGGAGTGTCCACAGGTGGAAAGGGAGTTGTTACTACAGCTGTGAATGCTGGCATTTCCAACCCGCTGGCACCCATTACTTCTGCCCCATTGCCTCCATACTTGCCCTTCTTACCATAACTACCAGCCTTAACACCATCTAGTCCAGGGCCCATCTGAGAGAGGACTCCAGCCATGTCGGGAGAAAGACCAGGTTCTCCTGGTGGGCCTGGTGGTCCAGGAGGGCCAGACTGACCTGGTTGTCCAGGGGGTCCTGAGGAGCCATCTTTCCCTGGGGGTCCTATGGGACCATTAAGACCTGGAATCCCCTCACCTGCAATGCCTGGTAAACCAGGTGGACCACTGTCTCCTTTTTGCCCTGGAAGACCAGGAGGCCCAATTGGTCCTGCTGCACCGTCCATTCCAGGGATTCCTTTAGGACCTTGAGGTCCCCCTTCACCAGGTAACCCACCTTGTCCTTTTGGCCCAGGAAGGCCTGGAGTGCCAGGGGTACCAGGTAGGCCTTTATGCCCACCTTCTCCCTTGGGACCACTTGTTCCTGGTGGACCTCTTGGTCCTGGTTCTCCACGCTCTCCAGGCAGACCATTCTTACCGGGCATCCCAGAAGGACCAGGCTCACCCTGAGCTCCATCAAGCCCTTTAGGCCCTCCTTCTCCACAGTCTCCTTTAGGACCAGGTGCACCTAAACCTCCTGAGGGTCCCATAGGGCCTGGAGCACCTGGTGGACCATTTGGTCCAGGGGGTCCAAGCATACCAGGAAGTCCTCCATGGCCCTTATCTCCTTTTGTTCCTGGAGGTCCTGGTGGCCCACTCATACCTTTGTCACCCTTTGGTCCTGGGAGTCCTGGTTTACCAAATCCAGGCAGTCCTGGCTTTCCTGGCAAACCTGGGGGTCCTGGGTGACCTTTCCCACCTGGCATGCCTGGCTGTCCTGGTAAGCCATTTTGACCTGGTTTTCCTTGACCAGGTACACCTGATGGGCCAGGTTGTCCTTCTTCACCAGGTGGCCCAGCTGGTCCTTGCTCTCCAGGATGTCCTTTCTCTCCCGGTGGTCCTTGTGGTCCTGGTGCCCCATTTAACCCAGGTTTTCCGAAACCAGGCAGCCCTCTTGGACCAGCAGGGCCTGGGAGCCCTGGGAGCCCTTTGTGACCAGGTTGTCCTGGTTGGCCCATCCCCTTGTCTCCTTTGGGTCCTGGTAATCCTGGAAGTCCTGGCAGACCTTTGTGACCTGGCTCTCCTTTAGGCCCTGGTTGGCCTGGTAATCCATGTACCCCTGGTTTACCTATTCCTGGTAGCCCAGGTGGTCCTGGGGGACCCTGAGGCCCTGGTTGTCCAGATGGCCCTTCTTCACCTCTAGGGCCCATTTCTCCTTGTGGTCCAGCCTCACCATTTCCCCCTGGCTTGCCTGGCTGTCCTGACAAACCTGGTTTACCCACTCCAGGCACTCCTGGTGGACCAGGAGGTCCAGGTCGTCCTGCAGGTCCTGGCTGTCCATTACCTGGAGGTCCAGGAGGCCCTGGTGGTCCCTCCGGCCCAGGTGGCCCTGCTGGTCCTGGCTCTCCTTGGGGAATTCCCTCAGCACCACTAGGGATTGTCTGACCTGTGAAGCATAAGATAAATATTCAACCAGAAATGATGAATCTGTGGAAAGCTTTGGTTGTTGCCAAAAGTTGCCAAAAGCTGTTTCTTCTCTGGCACTTCAGTATAACAAATAACTTACTATATGCCATTCAAAATAAAGAAACCTCGTCATGTTTCATTAGGTCATGTCATATGTTTCAAGATTGTTGAAAATGTTGAGTTTCTCACCTTTGTCTTGGCCACCATTATAGCCGCCCCCTTTACGAGCATTTTCTTTGCCCTTGTGCATGGGCATCTGGGGTAGCTCCTTCCTGTACTGGGGATACTGCATATAGGGCACCTCTTTTCCAAGGTACTGCTGCTGGGGAAAGCCTTCTTTGCCCATGCCCATGTGTTGGAGGTGCTGCATCGGCTGATATTGCTGAGGGTGTTGCTTGTGTCCATAGTATGCCCCACCGCTCACATAAGTAAGTACTAGAAGTTGTAGCAGTGTCAGGAAGAGGGGGATAGGGAGGGGAGGCATGGCCGAGACCTGTATGGAAAGTAGAGAAGACAATATATGAGGGAAGGCTGCATCTGTTTTTAAATCCTTTATATTAGTTAGTAAATCAAACATTGGTATAGTAGCTGTTTAGCATTTCTTGATCAGGAACCTTCAGGTGTATGAGTCAAGTGAACAACCTTATTTGCAAATGCAGGTAATGGGAGGTCACACTCTGTCTCCCTCTACAGGATATACATTGGAACGACATGCTCTGTGTCAACAATGTAATATTGCTATAGGCAGACACATATCAGAAAGTTGTTCATTTCTTTTTCCACTCAACTTTAAAATAAATGGGCTGCTTAAGTGTATGCAATTTACATTTGACTGCAGTTGGCATTTCTGCCAAAGTGAAACTGAATATTATTCATATTATAATAATTATTCTAGTATTCAATGAAACCACCATAAATAGTATAACTCACAGGAAGCCATTGAACAGTTTCTATTAAACACATTTGTTGTTCATGTTTTAAAGCCTAAATTTGTCAGCCTTGGCTTTGTTGTTATTTTGTTTAATACCTTACTAATACTATATCATGAAGTAGTGCCAAACAAGTCATCAACAAAAATCTATTTGATTTATTTTGGACTGAACTCTTTGGCAGACCTTTCATGCATATTTCTACATAGGAAAAGTTGAACAATCACTTGGACTTGAATGGAAATGGCTCTTTGGGAATTCTTCAAAATCCTGCTAAAGATGATATATTCCTAAAAATAATAACACATTCAATTCAGGGTTTTAGAAAGTTCTCTTTTTGGGACTAACCTCTTGGCCATGTATCTAGTTTCTCCCTTCTCTCTCTAACTACCAAATGTTTCAGAAACATTAAGTGACTCTATGAAGGCAGTGATACATCTTGGCTTTTGATATGGTTATCTGCAACAAATAATGAGCCTAAGCTGAAATGTATATGGTACACTGCTTTGCTGCACACACAATGTGTCACTCTCACAGGCTAGGCTGGCATAAACTGCACTTATTATAATTATCCACAAGAGGGAGCCACACTAAATGTCACACAGAATATTATTTTCAATTCCCTTGAAGTCCATATTTTGGGCTGAAACTTAAATAATATAGTAAATATATTATTAATAATTATGCCTTTGGGCCAACTGACTAAAGATGCTTAGGTACATGAATAATCAGTGCTACTTTTTGTGACTTCCCTGCAATGCACCTTGCACCTTTACAGAGGTTAGGTGTGCAGTCCTGTCATTGTACTGATAAGCGCATATTTACAGAACATATTTATGTTTATGTAAGGACAATGTACACAATGCAGAGGTTTGAATTCCAAATGAAAAAGATGTGATTTCAAAATGAAAACATCTGTATAAACATGCCTAACACTCAAGCCTTTTTAAAAATCATTTTACAAGTGTGTGAAGTATTTTTGCCACCTCCCAGTTAACTCACTGATGTGCTCACCATTCGCTCTGGTATTAATAAGACAATTCTTGTCGTTCCTGAAATATTGCAACGTATTTGGTCAGGCACTGAAATACATACAAAATATATCCCAGAACAACAAAATGTCTCATTAATGACACAGTATTTCCAGTAAGAAGGTGATACAGGGAGGAGTATTTATTGTGAAACTTCTAAAGCCACTTGCCTGTCAGAGGCAACACACATCCAAAAACAGGACTTGTAACACTGCTAAGGAAGAATCAATTCATTCGATAGTGCCTGTCTAATGTCGGATTTTGGCCAGCATTCAGACGTCAGGTCCAACAAGTACATTTTGAACAAACACAGTTGTGATCCAGTTCTGCAGTTAAGACCTCCTATTTATGTCTTAAGTCCCTAGGTTTTCTGCTTTAAATGGTTAGTGACGGAGCACGGCAAAGGGGTTTTCTTTGGCTCTGCAGTCAGTGTATAACTCACTTTTAGCTGCTCTTTTGAGTGTCCACTCATTTTATTCTGTCATTCAAGTCAAGTGCCATTTCCATCCTAGTCTGAGTCTACTCATCTCCTGCCACACTCCCCATCCAGGTTCAACTGCAATCACAGTCCCAATTTTATTACAACTTACATCTGTAGTTTTTATAATTCACATCCTAAACCACATTCTTAGTGTCCACTCCATCACTGGCTCTTTGGATCTTTCCCGCCCTTTGACCTTTTCTCAGTCGACTGGTGATTTTGACATGGCCGTGCCACTGTCTCCCCTGATGACTGCTGGCCTTTGAAAGAAGCCTCCTTAGTTCCCCTAGAAGCCAGACATGCCAAAGAGGCCAGAGGAATGCCACTGAGTTTTCCCAACAAGAACTGGAACCTATTTTTTCCCACTGAGCGGAAGTTGTGGTCTGTACAGGATTGATCTCTGAGTGTAAGGTGTGACACAAAGTAACCTGAGCACCAAGCCTTTTCTATTGTCTGTGTGAGGCTGCATCACTATTCCCAGACTGTTATAATGGAGATAATAGTAAGAATGGATACTGCTTTGTTAAGAGGCTGAATAAGATGGGAGTGCATTTGAAGTGTGTGGCCTGAGGACATAAATAAGCAATCGGATGGTTATATACTTATATTTACTATATGCTGTAAGGTACAAATGAAAGACCTGTGAGAGGAGGGGGCTGGATGTGGGGCTTAGAAGAAAGAGGTGCATTGATGCTGAGACATTTGTCAGGTTAAAATATTCAGACGCACTTTTGCCAACAAATATTAAAAGTGAAGAAATCCATCAAAAGTGTTTCAAAAGACTGTTTTGAGGTTTTGTTATCTAATAGCACGCCAGACACAGTCTCTCTTCTCCATTTTCCACAACACACAACAGCAACATGGAGAGGCTTTAAGAGCACGAAAGCCCAGACATACAATTGAATGATCCCATCTGTACCTCATCTCTTAATGAGAACATGGAAATAATACTATTTTAAAAAATTCTACAACTTCACACAACATCAAAATCATTATTGAAATGTGTGAATGTGTGTAAAAAAAAGGTTTAAGAAAATAATATGTGCGTGTGTGTGTGCGTTCATGTATAGGTGTTTTTAAAGGGTTGGAAATATTCTGACAAAACTTACGACTACAGATCAGAGAGACCGTACAACGAGGGTCTGTTCAGTGTCACATAGCAACACCACTGTGTTGTCATGCCGACCGCAGAGTGATGAAAACACCTCCTGTCTTTACCTGGTGTGCTTCTCTCCAACACATTATTCGGCATTATATCTGCAAGTGTTGCCTCCAGAGAACTACTTTCAGACTCTGACATTACATTAACATTAACCAGCAGTTTCCACCTTTTAACTTGTTACTGGAGAACACAGACAGAAAGAAGAGTGTGGTTAACAAAAAATCCTACAAAATAACTTGATTTTAAAATGGTGTTGTCATCCCTCCATCTGCAGCATGAGTAGCGTGTTGCGAGCTGTTTCTCACATTTGTACAATTTACTGTTTAATTTTTCACACTCTGGTGTCAAACAATTTGGCTCACTGATGACTCTCTGACAAGCAGTTATTTGTAACAGTGACTAAACAGGACCAGCAACCATGTTCTACATTTTCATGGCAGGCAGATGTAACCCATGTGTCATTCAGTTCACACCCTTTCCATACTGGTTTATTTGTGAGGCACACATGCACACATACTGGAAAAATTGTAGACCAAAGAACAACCACACAATTTGTGCCATTATGGATTACAAACAAGTTGAAACTGTTTCTGATCTCCAGAGGAAAAGTCAGGGGATCACCAAAGTCAACGGGGTTCATCCTCTGGGGACCATAGATGGCCAAATGTTTATGACAATCCATCAAAAAGATTCAGAGATATTTAAGTCTGGACAAAAGTGGTGACCTGACAGACCAACATTGCTGTCAGCCATGCCACTAGTGTGCCTAAAAAATATTTGTTTTCATTTACAACTATTGCAAATTTGCTCAGGCTATAAATGCATAGTATATTCCTACGTATTTGTCTCTATGAAAATAGTAATCAGAGTGAAATAGCACAATATTATTCTTTTGCTTTTTTCACACTTGCTACATCCTGTTGGCTTCAGAGAGTTCTGTCACTCAAACTTAACCCAACACATTAACCATGAGATAACAGCCCAGGGGGACAAGGAGGTACAAATATCAGCGGTTCCGACCCTAATTTTTTAACATCTGCTCCCAAAATCATGTGTGGCTGCTGGTCATACACCACTGAGCTCTCAGCATGTCCTGCCTGGCCCAGACAGTCTCAAAAATAAGCAAACCTCAAAGCAGTCTACAATGTATGTAATGTGTGTGTATGTGTGTGTGCCTCTGTTTCCCCGACTACTTCCAGATGTCCATCTTTTTGACATTTTACATAAACGACACACAGTAAATTGACCATCAGGTGTGCGACGCGAGAGGACTCACAGGCATCGTGTGTCTGTAAGATGTTGTTTTTGCTGAGTCAACCTTCACCCAGCAGAAGCTGAGGTGTCGACTACTGCGGTTTATACAAGCTGAAATCTCCAGCATCTCATTAAAACCACAGCAGCTGTGCAACCCCCTGAACAAATGTATAAAGGAAGAATAAGGCTATCAAGATATGAACCTCAGCTGATTTACCATTACATGCCAAGAGGAAGGTCTACATTACATACACACACACCTGTAGTGTGTTACAGGTTTGTGTAATGCTAAGCTCTAAGGTGCAGGTTTGCTTTAGTTTCAAGAGTTAAAGTTGGATTTAGGAGCCATTAATAAATTATTTCATCTATTTCAGTAAAAAAGGCTGACATATTTTGGGGGAAAGGGAAGACAGATTGTAATCATATTGTCATTCTGCGTTAGAGCCAAGAGAATTAAAGGCAAAAATAGTAACTACAAAGAACTTGTTAGGCCTCGAGACCCAGCACAATGTAACTAATTACATTTATCCATAAATTGGTGTAATTTGCATCGTACAGAGCAAAACACCTAACAATGATGGACTGGAATAATAAAAGAGCTGCTGGCTGATACCTCACTTATGGAAACACACCTGT